TCAAGGCAGTGGGTCTTGCTAGGACTCCACAGTCTGCTATTGGCGTGAGTTGTTTTTCAGCTGTGCACAAGACACAATTTTGGGAGGGCTTTGAACCCATTACTGCGCACACTCTGGTATCCTCCTATCAGAGTTCTTCCAAGATCGCAAAAATCAAGATTCCTGCTCCATATTGGGTCCAAGAGTCGGGCGCCAGCCCTGCACTCCCACTGTTTGTTGAAATGCCTACCTCGGCTGGGATATGCAATGGTTGTCCTGGCGTTCTTGATTTTGAGTTGGATTACTTGATGGGCATTCGTGACAAAGGGGGAGGTTTCATTTGGTGTATTTGGAGGCAAGAACTGAGGAGGGTAAGGTACAGGCTTACTCTCATTTCTTCTTTTTCTTATATGAATGCATCTACATTTGCCCAGGAGTGGAGATTGCTTTGTTTTCATGGTGGCTATGCTGATGATTTTGAGTTTGGCTATCATATGGGTATTCGTGACAAAGGTGGAGGCTTGCAAGGGTGGATTCGGTGGCAAGAAGTGCGGAGGTTCAGTTGCCCAAGGAGTAGGGGATCTTGCTATTTGGTTGATGATGGTATTCATAAGTGGCAACAGTTGGGGTCCAATTCGTTTTTTCCTTTCTCCAGTAGGAATTTTTTGTCTTTACAAGCTCACTTGGAAAAGGCTGACCTTTTTGTTTGTGGTCATGTTGGGTCCTTCAGTAGCAATCAAGTAATGGTGGCCACGTTGGTGCACATCTCTCCTAAGAAGGAAATAATTGAGTGGGTTCAAATTCTGGATTTGTAAGTGCTGACAAACATGTTAATTTGGAAGTTCTCTTCACAAGATTAGTTGGAAGTTATCTTTCAAGCTCTTGTTAGGCCCATTAACTTGGCTGAAGTTTCTAGGCCTCATCAGGTTGCATCAATGTTTCATTTCTCATCTCCTGACCAGCCATCTTCCAGCAATTGCTAATACATATGATTTTCAAATTTCCATCCTTGAGGACAAGGATTATTTTTGTGGGGAGGGTAATGATAGGATGCTAAGGGTGTTTTAGTCTTTTGCATTAGCAATTAACTGACTATATTAGGAGTTTAATTAGTATTGTAATGATGTTGAATTGTATTGTGTTTTGAGTAATAAAAATAGTATATTCTTTCTGTGCATTTGGGTCAAGGTTGAATGGGGTCTAACATTGCGAAGCTTTGAATTGGGTTTTCAGCTGCAAGTGAGGCTTAGGTTTTCTATGGAAATGGTGTCAAAAAGACGAAGACTTTCGGACAAAATGGCAAAGGACCACTGGTGTAAATTAATTAGACAAGGGTTAATATCACAAAACGTCTCTTAGATTTATGAAACTATCATATTGCATCCTTATTGTTTTTTGTGTCATTCGTGGTCTTCAAGGTTAATCTGTGTGCTCACAAATGGTCCATGCCATTAGGTTTCATCAAACACTCCGTTAGTTTGCTGACGTGACATGTATATATATATATATATATATATATACACCAGAAGTGGCTCAAATCCTAGAAAGGATTCTTAAGATGAAATGCGGAAGGTAGTACGTGGAAGATATTTTAAACAAATGCTACACACTTATAGGATTAAAAATGTCACAAGAGTGACAATAATACCCCCAAGCCCTAGTGTAGCCGCAACCCCCCCTCTTTGTATGTCATCTTTTTGCTATCTTGGTCCAACACATTAATCCTATAATGTGTCACATATGTGCCTAAGTCCATATGGTCAAATCCCTTTTGAATTTCCAAGTTATATGGGATCTTTAATTAAAGTTTCAAAACTTTAATTGAATAATTAAAGTAATCTAATCAATTTAATTACTCTAGTGACTTAACTAATTTAATCACTCATTTGTCCACCGAGTGTTGGTCCTGGTCATCCTTAGTCAACCGTGTCAAGTGTCGGGTCAACCGTTTGACCTTTGACTTTTGACTTCGACCTTTGACTTTCACATTGACTTTGACCAAGCCACAAAATCATTTATTCTCTTCTTAATTTCCCAATCGATTCCTTTTCAGTGGCCAAATCTCATAGGTTCTAATTAGCGAGGCAGTGGATATGAATGATTTACTCTGAATCAAGTGTGAATCGTATCCCTCCATACAATTCTCCCTATTGGCGAAGGCTAATTATAATTAGTCCTTACAGGGCTTCCACAAGCCATGAGTGACATCTAGTAGTATGTCATGGCTACCCAAGCTATAAAGAATTCATTTAGAGAACCTAGTCAGTTTGTGATTACAATGCAAGTCGATCCTTCTCTAATTTAATACTCTATGTCATATTCTCGGAATATGGTAAACTCATGTCAAAATCCCTAATATGACATCTCTAGATTACATGATTCAATTTGATGAAATTGCAAACATTCTTGTTTCAATTTCCATCCAATACTTCGGCCAAAGATTCATGAATCATATCTTTAGATTATTATCTCTTCTTACTAAGAGTAGAGATTCCTTGTTGTACATTCACCTGTCTTGGCGTATGCTGAGATCCTGAGGAACACCTTTAAGTCACATTATTTTGATACGACCGTATAGTGCTTTCAAAGAGAAACAACATATTCACAAAACAACTGTGATGTCTCAGGTCTAAGGATTAATTTGCATTATCACAACTTAGAATTCTTTGTTTGACACTTGTGAGTAAGACTTCCATACAAGAATTCTAGAGTTGATTGCGTTTAGTGGACTCCATCTTCTATAGAGCACCTACGCATCTATCTCAGTGTCTCTACATGAATGACTTGAGACTAGTCATCCTCTCAATTGAGCAGACATAATTTGTACCAATCTTTGCGGGTCACCATTGTCCAATTGGTGATCCTATGACCAGGAACATTTTAGGATACGATATTCATATGTATGGAAAAGTCTTGTGCATCTAACTTCTTTAAACCACTTTTCATTTATATCTTAATCCATGGACTTGTTACTTTGTGTACGTTATGTATCTAAAGCAACGTTCTTGCCCCTTTGATTATTATATATTATTTTTTTAGAATTATCCATTTTATATGGGCTTCTAGGGCGTATATCTAACAATAGACACCTCATGCTTTGACAGTGAAAGTGATATGCAAACTAGTGGAAAATTCCAACTACTCCATACAATTAATGCATTAGACGAAAGATGAATATGCATGCCTCAAATGAATAACACTTCCAACTTCTTTCAAAAAAGTAGAGACCCACTTTATATTTTACTTACCCAACCAAAATTTATCAAAGCACCCATTAGAAAAATAAAGAAAATAACAAAGCAATTATTAAAAACATAGATTCCATTTATAAAAGTATAACAAATATATATATATATATATATATATATATAAGTATCATATGAATGTCAACTATAAGTGAACCAAGAAAGCAACTATTATTTATATATACAATTACTATAATTTAATACTTACCAAAGTAATAAAATATTAAAATTTAAGAATAAGGATTCTCACAAAAAGTGTTGGCCCTTGTGGCTCACGATATTTAGGCATGAATTATGAATGCAATATATCACTTTTATCTATAAAAAAAAAGGGTATTGTTTTTTTAAAATTCATGAAACTATAAAGATTCAAATGAAATAATTATCTTTGAATTTTACAACGTAAGATTGAAAATTAATTGTGTAAATAATATCAGTTGTGGTACACTACAAAAAGCTCATTAAAAGAACCAAATTTTCTTGGGAATAGACTAATGAACCAATTCGAAAGATAAACCAATGTACATTACGTTACCTATTTGAAAGAAATCAATTTAGAACATGATATAAATAAAATGATTAAATATAAAAACCCTGCAAATGAATACCTAAACTTACAGAAACTCTCCAAAGAAACTGTAGCTCCCTCTCTCTCAAAAAACATTCTAGAGCCGTTTTCACTTTGAGGGGGGAGGAAGTCATTGTTCCCCCTCACGTCTCTCCTCTTCTCTTCCTCCCTTCTCCTCTTCTCCCATTTTCAGAGACATAATGTTTTCCTTATTTGTCTTCGTTTTGTTATGATTTTCCTCCAATCATGACATGCAGTTGCGTCTCGGCATCAGATCTCCACCTGCATTTCGGCATCAGATTTCCACCTCGTTTCGGCGTCGGATCTCCACCACCATCCTTTTTGCAATTTCTTTATGTTTGGAATAAGTCGTAGAGATTCTTTGGGTTCTCTGTGTAGTTTTCACCTCTCATTTTGTGAGAGCTTTTCACCTTTCCTTTATGAGAGATTTTTTATTTGTATTGTTATGACTTTGTTTTTTCAAGCTTTATCGCTTTTTTATTACTTTGGGTTTACAATCTTAGTTGGGATGCCTGTGACAGAGTTTATTCGATCATGTGTTATCATTAGTGGAGACACACCCAATTGTCTTAATTTTGATGTTAGATCGCTCCATTATTGTAGTGGCCCTTTGTAGTTAGTTTGTATTGACCTTTTGTGTATAGTGACTTTTTTGGTTGAATTATGAATAGCAATTCGAGAATTTTATAAATAAATAAAAAAACTTAAAGAAACCCTGTAACATTATGTTACACAAACAGCTAGTAGGTTTGTTAAATGTTGACACGTCAAACATGTACCCAATGTTTTTTTTTACTGATGCAGAGTCCACATAGATAATAAAATATTGGGGATATGTTTGACCCTAAAAACAAATTAATAAAAAATAATCTTCCTTATAAGTTATCTATCTATATATATAAAGCAAAATACATAGAATGGTGAAACATTCAAAATACCAGAAAATACCCTTGGTTAATTCAAACATTAAGAACTGAAATTATTAATTAAATGAGGCTAATATGGTAAATTCACATTTTTTTTCATATTAAAAAAATTAAAATAAAAAACAAAATGAGATAATTAATCATACTTTTATAGAACATAATTACCCTTTATCTTTTCATAATTCTAAAAAAATAAAATAAAAAATCAATTGGCACATGCGCAAGGGCTAGTAACAATAAAATGAAAAAGTTATTTTTTTTAAACAACCCTAAACCCCACACCACCGCCACCTCCTTCCTCTCGCTCCGTCTCTGTCTCTCTTTCCTACACAACCGGTCGGACTGCAGCCAGCCATAGCCGTCGAACTCACGAGCCATCGCACTGCAACCAACCGTCACTCTTAAACAATCGAAATCGGCGTTTTTTCGCCGGTTCAGATTCGGTTGGGTGTCTAGAGTAGTTGGGAGAGAGAGACGTAGAGGGGGTTTCGGTCGGTGCCTCTTAAAGTTCATTCCCTCATTTGGGTTCTATCGAATTTTGTAGCTGTTCGTTCTTGTACTCTCTCTTTCTGAATTTCACACACACGCCTTCATGGAAGGGAAAAACCAAAAAACAAAATAAAATTGAAAGCTTAGAGCATTGATGAGAAGTTGGAAGCTTATCTAAGAAGAAAGACAAGGACAAACTTGGTTGAGAAGATTTGAGAGCTCAATTTAAGGCTGTTGATGTCGAATTCGTGGATTTGTGAAACTTGTGGCAACGAGGAGCTGGTAGACGGCAATAATGGCTTCTTCTACTGCAGCCAGTGCAACTCACAAGCGCAGGGCTTCAAGGACACCGGGGTGGCCGATGAGGACTTTTACGACGAGACTGGCGATGCACAGGGAGGCCTCTACTCTGCCCGTAACACCCGCCGCGTCAACATCTCCGCCGTCAAACCCGAGGCCCTTTCCCAACCCCTGGATAATAACCCTTTGAGTCAAACCAACATGGAAAATGACAATGCTGATGCTGTGGGACCCACGGAACCCGAGGATTTTGGATTCGACACGGTGGAGGGCTATTACAGTGAGGTTAGGCTTAGGTATGTGAAAGGAGTGCAGCGGATGATTGAGCTCCAATGTGAGGCTTTGGTTAGGGAGTTTAAGGTGAACCCTTTGATTTGTGGGTTGTCTGGGTCCATTTGGCTACGCTTATTGGCTTGGACTCGTGTTTTTCAGGATGATTGGGGTGACCGGACTTTCGATGACGCTGAGATACGCCAACAAGGTTTGTTTGCTGCCACCCAGTTTCATCTTTACCGAATTCAACCTATGGATAGTATAGTTCATCTGAATTCAATTTTCTTATTGTGGAGCTTGGTTCTTCAAGGAATGTAAGTACCAAAATAAAAATAAATAAATAAAACAAATGTTACATTGTAGCTTGATTCGCAAGTATGATTTCTATAATCAATTAATGTTAATTTTGAAACTGACTGTCTGTGGTCTGCATTAGCTTTTTGTTTAAATTCTTGATCTCTTGTATTGTTGTTTGATTTATGTTGTCTTTAATCATTGAGTTTCTTTGTTTCAGGGGAACCACCCGAAGATTTTAAGCCACGCTCTAAATACAGAGACGAACCTCACACAAGGTTTGGTCAGCGAGCAGTAATGGTATGGTTTAGGTCCTTGAGAAACACTATACCATTATCTTATACTTTAGCTATTTCCTTTCTGGCTTGTCATCTTTCCAGGGAAGCAGTCCTACCGACAGACATAGTAAAATGGTCAGTTGAAGGAAAGCTCCCATATTTTTCTGCTTTTCTTGAAATTGAAAAAGACTTGGGAAGGCCTTCACGTGCCTGCCCAATAAGTTCAAGCTTAATGTTTAGACCTTCTGAATCTGTGCCAGTGCAAAAGTTGGAAGCACTGGCAGCATCCATTGCTGAGTCCATAGGCTTGCACTTACCTCCAGTGAATTTTTTTGCTATAGCTTCTCGCTATCTGAAAAAGTTATCTCTTCCAGTCGGAAAGGTTCTCCCTCACGCATGTCGCATATATGAGTGGTCAATGCCTCCAGATTTATGGTTATCAACAAATGAGTTGAGGCTTCCTACTCGTGTGTTTGTTATGTCAATACTGATTGTAGCAGTAAGAATTCTTTATAATATTCATGGTTTTGGAGAATGGGAAAAAAGTTTGTCCAGAATTCATACTTTGTCTTCCACATCTAATCAGATGGGAGATCTGGATCCCACATCCAATTCCAAAATGCGGTCTGGTACTGCAGAGGATTTAGGTTCGCCATCCCACAATTTGGATGATACGGATACAGAGCTTGTTAGAAATTTGTCAAATGCTCAGAACTCTGAATTGGACGCTGCAGAACTTCTATCCAGCCTTGAAGCAAAGCATAATGAAATTGCTGATACTTATGGTAAATTTGAAATATATTGGAGTAGTTCTTTGTTGAAAATGATGATGCAATTTAAAAAAAATTATTTCTTCATATTAATAAATCACATAGGCTAGATACTTTACTTCTCCCTCAACCCTTCCCTTCAATTTGTTAATTATGAAGTTTTAAATTCCTGCCTTATTGTTGACAGAATATTGCAAGGACTTACCAACGTATCTTCAGTTCTGCAAGGATGTAGTCTTTGCTGGATCAAAATCATCATTCAAGGATCACAAGGAAGAAGAGCTAATTGAATTGTTATGGAACTTTTATCAGAGTAGAAAGGTAATGTGTAGCTTGAATGCATAGTCTTCTCAGACATATGTTTTGTTGCAAAAGTTTTCTTGTAGTCAGCTAAATAGTACTTTGTGCTAGCCCTTAGTTAGATTTGATTGAAAAGAGGCGTCACTGATATGTCTCCCATACAAGCATAGTAAAACAGAACAAGAAGTCTGTATTCAGCATGATTGATATGCCTGGTTCCTGAATGTTATGAAATTTTCTTTGTTCGCATCACCTATCTGAAGTATATAAGTTCCTTGTACCAAACAACTGGGGAGAGTGGTCACTTATGTTTACTGATCTAGAACACAAAACAAGAGTGGCAAGGGTAGACTATGGGTATTATTGATTTTTAACTGGGGAGAGTGGTCACTTATGTTTACTGATTTAGAACAGAAAACAAGAATGGCGAGGGTAGGCTATGGGTATTATTGATTTTTAACTGGGAAGAGTGGTCGCTTATGTTTACTGATTTAGAACAGAAAACATAATGGCGAGGGTAGGCTATAGGTATTATTGATTTGTTTTTTTCTTGAAAAGAAATACAAATTTTATTGAAGTTAGAACAGATACAAAAGTGTGGACAAGATGTACACCAAAGTGTACTATGGGTATTAGAACTAATATATCCAACTTCTTGTGGATTTGGATGATCTTTGTCGTTTTTCATAAGCATGGGAAACCTTATAATTTGATTTTCACTATCCTGGATAAACCTCCTTTCATGAATGTTTAAATTAGTGATGGTGTTGCATGGTCCTCTGACTCTTACTAGGCATATTTATATATTTATAATTTAATGTTTAACGGTGTATGATGTATATGTGAATAATAGCAGCACCAAGTGTACTCTAGGTAGAATTAATTTACCAGGGCTTGTTGTAGATTTGAACAATCTTTGTTATTTATATGTGTTAGAAATATATAGTTATAATATTCACTATCTTGGCCAAACCAATCCTTGCTTTCATGAATGTTCAAATTTTATAATTTTGATGACATGCAACAGTGACTGAGTCCTGTGACTGTTTTTTTTATTCGAAGAAGAAACATAAATTTATATAAAAAAGGGTCAAATGTACAACTACAGCAGCAAAGAAGAACTCTTAACGTGCCTAAACTACACACATTAAAATTAAAAGATCAGACTTCCAACTTAATCACAATACATCAATTTATTGCAGCTCTCCCGAACTCTACAGCTTTCCAGTCATGTGACTTTTACTGTGTGTTTTGTGAATATGGAGCTTAGATAGATTCGCATGTTCCCTTTTAGTTCAATAATGTTGGTTCAATGGTTTTTTGTCTTGATGCTCGTGTTCATTTTCAGAAGCTTTTAGTTTGACATGTGAATACCACTTCATAATGCATTTTGTTGGTTTTCAGGATTCTGAAACAGCAGTCGAACAAGGATTGCTTTGTGGTGAAACTGTTAACCAGAAAAGATTGAGGGACAATGAAGAGTGCACTAATGATATATCTGAAGAAAAAAAGTTTAGTAATAAATGCCCTGTTTCTAGCCCTTACTCTGGTGATGAAACTCCCTTCGCGGACGACCAACAAAGGAGCAAAAATGGCGATAATTCTTGTAGTAGCTCACAGAATAGTCAGAACTCAGAAGTTAATGACGCAGAAACTCTCAAAGAGGAAGCCATTACTCGAATGAAATTAGACATGGAGGAGAAGAGATTCTTTTATATTCCACCGAGGGTCAACCTCAAAAGATTTGATTACCTTCACTATGTAAGGAAGAAGGATGAAGGTGCCTACACTTATGCTGCACATGCTGATTATTACATCTTGCTTCGTGCTTGCGCTAGAGTTGCAGAAGTTGAAATCCGGTGTATGCACATTGCAGTGTTGAGCTTCGAGAGGAGGCTGGCTTGGATGGAAAAGAGAATCAACCACTGCTTGCACTTGACCCCACCTATTGTCTCATGCGAGTATTGTGCTGATATGGTCCCAGAAAATACTAATGCAGAAAATGATATTGAATCGATTGGTTTTCCAGATTTGAATTTATGAGTTTTATTTTTATTTTTTATATTTGAATATTACTCTTCTTTTTCCAAGGTACTATAGAGCATAGATGAGAATTCACAATTGTCATGTCTTAATGGAAAGAAAGAAAAATAATAATAGGGCCAAGGTCCACTTCACTGTAGCCAGGCTGGTCTTGATTCTAGCCGTAGCCATAATTAAAAGTTAAAACGACAGTGAAAGGATAGACAGTTGGGAATGTGACTCTCTCCAGGAAGTCCTGTTTTCATACTTACGTTTTAATTATCTTTTTACTTGAACTTTAAAAAGATAAAATTAAATTCCATTAGACTTTTAAATAAGCCAAATGAGAATCTGACCCAAAAAAAATAGAAAGAGAAAAGCCAAATGAAAAATTCATTAATTTCCATCGTTTTGAAATTCCTTACTTTAGAAAGAAAAAAGAGAAAAGCAAAATGAAAAATTCATCTGTGGACAGATGTTCAAAATTCCTAAATATCTAATGAAATATTTGTGTAAACTTCCGTCTCCAAACCGCTTATATTAAAAAAAGAAAAAAAATGACTGTAACACCCCTACTAAAATCATAAATTTCTCTCATAATATCGATTGATAACAACATGTGACGCAATCGAAATGAAATGAAAAATTGGACCATTGACTCAAGGCCTATAAAATGAAGAAATGGAAACAGCGCGCCAATAAGCGGTCGGCCAAATGTTGTAGCAGTCCAACTTACAAAGACAGAATAACCACCAGCACCAGAACGTGCAATGATGAAATACATACGTACAAACAAAGCAAGAGAGGCGGTAAGAATTTGGTAATCAACGTTTGACTTGCCAAGCCACAGCCTGCCATCTTTCGTCAAAAGTCAATATTCAACTGTGAACAACACCGCTTGCCCTTCCTTTTTTTTTAAAAAAAAAAAAAAATTATTTTTTCTTCTCTCCTGTTACATCATAAGACATTTTTCATTGGAATTACGAATTCTATGCACCCAAACAAGAAAAAAAAGAAAAAAAAGAAAGAAGAAGAGAGAAAGTGATTTTCAATAAAGCACATTTGAGAAAGCAACAACCCAAGAAATTATTGGAATTTTTGTTATCCGTATGTTGACGTTACAAGCGGAATCTTCAAGGTTCGAACCATTTTCCAGTTTTTTCCTATCTAGCAATTATTACAATATTTTGTTTAATTAGCGTATAAACTTAAAGACTGTATATAAATAAAGTATACGCAAGCAGCATACTTGGTTGACTTTTTTACAAGTGTGATTAAATTGTTGTACTATGACAAGTACTCCGATTGAATGATTTGTTGGTGCTTTTTTAGAAGATGTCCAATTCAAATCAAAGACGTTTGACTAGTCTTTGAAAGCTTATCATTCCACCTCTTCTAGATTAATCAGGGGCATTTTTGGGTTGAAATCAGCAGATGGGTTGATGTTATTTCTTGTCATTGTTTAGGGAGAAGAAAGAGTGATTGTTTAGGGAGAAGAAAGAGAGAGAAGAGAGAGAAGAGAGAGAGAGGGATGAAAATGGAGGCTAACCAGAAGCCCATAGAGGTGAGGGCCTTGGAGGCTTTGGGGCAAGGCTTTGATTTGAGCAGTGATTTCAGGTTGAAGTTTTCCAAAGGGTTGAATGGAAGTGATGGGAGGTTGGTGGTGCTAAACGAGGCTAATAAGAGAGACATTGTGATTCCTAGTGGTGGAGGAGTAACAATTCATGGAGTTCCTGAGGATATTCGATGCGATAAAGGGGATAGAATCCGGTTCAAATCCGATGTTCTTGAGTTCAATCAGGTGAAAGCTTCAATTTCTTTATTTGGTTTTCGAATTTTGCTGCTTTGTGTTTGATTGTGGTGACCAAGTTGTCAATTTAGTGGCAAAATCATAAAAGTGTGTTCCATACTGTTTTGTCTGTTTAAATTTGGGTGCCCAGAAAGCTTTAGGTTGATTTCCTTAATTTATCAAAGCTAATTAAGTTGATTAGAATTGCTGTCGTAGAATCAACTGTCTGGTGGAAGCTATTTGAGCATGCTAGTTTACTGTGACTAATACTTTCTAAGAAGACCAGTAGGGATCAAAACACGGTCAAAGGGGGCTGGTTTTCTGGTACAACTACAAGGAAACCAGGAAAGTGAGAAGAAATCTTCTTCCTTAATTACAACTGCAACCTATTGGGGAATTGGGGGAAAGAGTGCACCAAGTAGGGGAGGTGAAAAGGCAAGAAATAGGGAAGTAAGATCCCCTTTATAAAAGTAAATCCTAATATTAAAAAAGGCTAATCTTAACTGTATGAATAATGCAAGTAAAAATAAAAATTTACAAACAAATTAGAAACTGAAGGAGCCAGCTAGTTTACGCTTGAGTTTACTAGAATCTCTTATTGCTGTATAAAAAGTCATGGATCAAATCTTGTAATTATTGTGAAGTTCGTTATCTGAGTATTGCAGTTCTTTTTTAATTTTTTTTGCCAAACTGAGTATTGCTGTTCTCTATTACTCAAATATCAAAACCAAACCTCACGAACACACTTATAGGATCATAGGAGGGACTTGTGAAAAGGTCACTTGTGCTAGACTTTGGAGTGCTGCAGTAGGCAAACCAAGTAGTATTGCTAAAGCAGAGTATGTAATGGTAAAAATTAGACAGTGATGCATCAGGGTAATAAGAAAGCAAGATGCAGCAGATGGTGTTTAAGAAGGCAACAGAATATGATGCTATGGGGAACACTTTTATTAGTAAAATAGATGATGGAGGTGATGAAAGTTAGCATGTTTGATTTGCAATCCTGATCTTTCCCTTCTTTAAATTCAAGTAAAAGGAGAAAGTTAAATGTACCTAAAATGTATTGGGAAAGAGGGTTTTGGAAGAATATTGTAAAAAAGCACGTAGGGCAAAAATAGGTTGCATGGAAGTCTGGACCAGTAACAATGCTTTATAATTTTCGAGTTATTTTGGAGGTTACCTGAGGGCCAATGGATGTGGAAAATATTGAGGGTTTAGTTTTCCAATTGGGAAGAAAAGGTCTGGTTTGGGTTACTGAAAAGTAATTGACTTTATACCAAGGTGGAACAGCATGAACAGTGCATATGAAATGTAATAGAAACATTGTTTTTGGGGAAATAAGAATAAGGACAAGAAGAATGGAGGAGGAAGAATCCTAGGCATATTTTCCTTCCATGAACCAAAACTCTCTCTTCATGAATTAAAAGTGACCAATTTATATGATTACACAGGTATTGTTATAGTGTTTTACCTTTTTTGTATAGGGTTAAGACTGCAACCTCTAATCGGACTAAGGAATTAACCGAAAGGCTAGTATAATTGCCCAACAACTTCATTAGCCCCCAAAACCAATTTGCAATGGGTGGAGAGGTCAAAGACGTTATATATTGTAAAGCTTAACTTAGAATTCCTGATGTGGGGATTCTATACTTCCAACAGTATCTATACATCAAGTTGATATGAATGGAATACTATTATTAAAATAAAAGAATGGAATACTTTGTTGTACTATGGTCAAAATTATTTTAGAAGTTAGATTGACAACAGAAAGGGAAATTCTGCAATACAAGCTTCTAATCCCCAGTTCCCCTTCTGTTTTTTGGAAAGTTCTGCAATTCAATTTTGCATTGTGTTGTATACATGATTTTGCCATTTCAAACACCATAATAGGTTGCTCATAGGTATGAATGCATATATGATTTATTGGTTGATGTGTACTGCTTCTCTCTTGTTTGTCCTTTCCTTCTGTTTCTCTCCTTTCTCTCTTGTTTGGTGGGATTTTAATAAACTATATTTAAAGGGTCAATTATGTGTAAATAATTGATACTTCTACATGAAAAAGATTATATATTTAAGCCTTACTTATCCTGTTGTTGTTTTGGTTAAAATGTTTTTGCAGATGTCTGAGCTACTTAATCAGAAATCTTCTGTACAAGGGAAAATTCCTTCAGGCTATCTTAATGCCATTTTCGATTTAACTGGAGACTGGCTTCATGATGCTGCGGAAGCAAAGTATCTTGCTTTTGATGGTTTCTTCATTTCATTATACTATTTGCACCTAACAGCATCTCCATTAAGTTTGCATAGCAAAGTACAGAAATCTGTTCCATCCCGTTGGGATCCAGCCTCATTGTCTAGGTACTTTTTGTGAAGTTGAGATCTAAAGTAATCTCTTTACTCCTTTGCACAATAGGAAATGTTTTCATATGAGGAAAATGCATAACTATGGAAAACATTTCATAAGAATCTATTGTGAAAGAAAGAAATCTATATTGTTTGAATTCGATTTTAACAAGAATAGAAGTATATTATGTGAAGCTCTCCGCCTGATAGTTGAAGCTTTTCAATTAGATGTCCATTTTTTCACTCATTTATCATGGTATCAGAATCTGGTTGCAATTGGTCCTTCACATTGCAAGTCTCACCTGAAGTCCAACCTTTGTTGGCTCGTAGAGCATTTGGGAAATGCAGAAGACTATGCTTCTTCACCAACCTTTTGCCTGACTTATAAAGAACTTTTTGGATGAAAACTATTTCACCATTTCACCATTTGAACATTTGAACATTTTAATAATTGATTATAGTCATTGAAAATAATAGAATAGCCCATGCATTTAAGTTCTTGTTTCTTATCTAAATACACACACACACACACACACACACACACCACACACACCACACACACACACACACACACACATTTATATTCACACAAAAAAAAAACCTTCGTTAATCATCCTTGGGTTTATGAGAATTATCACCAATTAAGCTGATAAGCTTTATAATGCAGGTTCATCCATTCATACGGGACACACATAATAGTAGGCATGGCTGTTTACGGTCAAGATTTAGTTTGTGTCAGACAGAAATCTTCCTCACCAGTTCCTCCATCTGATGTTAGAAGACATCTGGAGGATCTTGGTGATTTTCTATTTTCAGATGGAAGCCCTACTTTACTGCGGGGAAAAACAAGAGATGGCAAACATAAAGTATAGTGCTTAATCTTGTAATTTGATATTTTGTACTTTTTTCTACATGAATATAATTGATGAAGGCAACCATTTCTGTAGGTTCCAGATGTATTCAACCGTATTTTGCAGTCGAACACCATGCAGTTAACCACTAATTCACAAACATCAAGCAAGGATGTAAGCAAATAGATCGAGCACTTTAATATGACGGACACCATTCTGGGCTGTGATTAATTTTTTTCTTCTTCTTTTTTTACTTGGAACAGGGTCTTACTATCGTTTGCTCAAAAAGAGGAGGGGATGTATTCTTGAATAGTCACTCCAATTGGCTCCAGACGGTGCTTGCTGAACCAGAAGCTATCCGCTTTAAGTTTGTACCTATTACTTCTCTTCTTACTGGGATTCCAGGCAGTGGCTTTCTTAGTCATGCAATCAACTTGTATCTACGTTGTAAGTTCTCCACTGCCCAACCAATGGTTAAGTTTTGCAGTTAGGGTTCATATTCATTGCACAGCTTTCTGCTAGTACATACTTACCACCCAAAAGTCTTTCTTCTTGAATTAACTGTCAGTTAAAAGGTAATTTGTTGGGATTTTGGAAAACGAAGTTGAGATTGAGATAATTATAGTGAATTCTGACAAGAGAAAAAAAGGATTCAACCTTACACCTTGCTCCCGATATTGGGCATTTTAAATGGTCACAATAAGACTGACTTTTGCTGGAACTAGAAGGTTCATGTGACTGTTAGGAAAATGATAATCGTGGCCTCTTACAGATCGCATTACCTTTTCTTACATTAAATGGCTATATTCTTTAAGCATGTACCCAACAATGAATGACAAATTTTCCTTGAGCTTGTTTACATCAATATGGGCATTTCATTGATCCATAATCCTCCTCTCAGACAAGCCGGCTCCAGAGGATTTACAACATTTCTTGGAGTTCCAAGTTCCTAGGCAATGGGCACCTATGTTTTGTGAGCTGCCTCTTTCACATCGACAGAAAAAGGCTTCGTGTCCTTCCCTGCAATTCAATTTAATGGGCCCTAAGATTAATGTTAGCTGTACACAGGTGCGTAGATTTCTCTCTCTCTCTCTCTCTCTCTCCACATGCACAGACACAGGAATTTGGAAATTGATAGATTGTGAAACTTTGATTAATAAACTTAAAGCAGAAGAAACTCTAAATGATTCAACTAAACTTTGTTACTAATAGAATAGGGAATCTTGGCATGCCGTTCGAGCATATATCTAGTAATTACAATTGTCAATGAAATAATCTGACTACAATTGTCAATGAAATGATCTGACTCAATAGTCTTTGAAGAAAAAAGCCAACTCTGGATTAAAAAAATAATTACTAAATGAAACCATGGGCGGTTATTATTGGACCAGAAAGGTTTATTGGTTAGTTTGGAATCAATCTCTAATCTATAGTTGTGACGTCAGTGTGTCAAATTATTAATAGCATACCAATTTTTAGTCCCATTACCAAAGTTGATCTAAGGATGGCTGCATGATCACCAAATCTTATCCATCTTTGATAGATTCTGTGTTGTATAAGCGAGGGTTCTCGTAGGTATGCATTCATAATTTCCTCATGCATGTTTTACTATTATTTCATACAAAGAATATTGTCATGCATTTTCTCCAAATACTGGATTGTCAAGGCTGGCATATACTGGCTATGTGCAAACATGCAATATCAGTTGGAGTGGGAACGGAAAGTTATTATAGATGCTGAATGGTGCCTCTTAAAATGGACATCCATATTCGATATAATTGCAATGTCTGTTCAAAATCCTCAATCTGTTATTTTGGATCTCTTTGTACCTACAGTTGCACGTCAGTCTGACATCTTAAAATTCCGATGGGATCTTCAGGGCTTTCTTTAGCAGATTTGGTTTTGGCCCACAAAAAGGCACTCTTTCACAGACATGCACTAAAATACAGATTAAATTAACCTGCATGAAGTACTATCATTATTTTATTTATCAACTTCTGGGGGGAAATCTTCATTTACGTCACTGCATTGGCTCTATTTACCTATAAAAGCTTAGCAGTATACAGTTCAATATTTTATTATGGTATACTTGCTCAATTGGTTATGGTGGGTCTAATTTTCTGTCTATTCAGGTTTCAACTGGTCAAAAGCCAGTTGTTGGCCTACGCCTGTACTTAGAAGGGAAAAGACGAAATCGGTTAGCCCTACATGTACAACATCTCTCAAGCCTTCCAAATACTATGGATGTTTCTGTGGCTAACACCAGCACAACAAGGCCGTGCTGGTGGCGAGGTTCTGATGACTGTGAGTTGAGTGAACAATTCTTAGAGCCAATTAAATGGAAGAGATACTCAAAAATCTGTTCATCCGTAGTTAAGCATGACCCCAACTGGTTGAAGGGAGATTCAAATGGTGTGTATATTGTAACTGGTGCACAGCTCATTAGCAAAGGGAAATGGCCCAAGACGGTACTTCACCTTCGTCTGCATTTTACCTACCTACCCAATTGTGGAATCCGGAAGACTGAGTGGGCTGCTGCGCCAGAGGCTTCACACAAATCAAGTTTCCTTACGAATCTGAGTACAACGTTTACATTCACTCAGCGAACAGTAACTGATCAGCAAAAGCAGGCGCCAGCTGCACTTAATTCAGGTGTGTATCCAGAAGGACCACCAATGCTAGATGGCTCAGCAAAGCTGCTTAAATTTGTAGAAACAGCTGAGGTTGTTCGTGGCCCACATGATGCTCCTGGACATTGGTTAGTAACAGCTGCTAAACTAGTAAAAGAGGGAGGTAAAATTGGTTTGAATGTAAAGTTCGCGTTGTTAGACTATTGGTGAATTGCAGTTTGCTTTTGTACAATTAGAATGGAGAAAGTAGTAGGTCAAAATTTCGTTGATTTTTTTATTTCATTTCCACTTTGTTGTAATTAATAAATATTGTAAGAATGTATGTAATAGGAAGGAGGGGTTACAGAGTAAAATTATATATAAGGTTTTACAAAATAGATTACAAACCAACAAAAGTCTGGCTTGGCTTTACTTGTGCTTTTTGCAACCACCTTAGAAATTCTAAAGTAAACTCTCTCTGTTGTGAGAGTTAATTTGCACAATAGGCTTGGCTTCATGCCTACTCCAGATCAGGGAGATATGAAACACAAGATTACTAATAATTGGACTAAATTTAAGCGAGTAAAATTTTCCTTTATCTTAAAATTTTTGGATCAAACACAACCAAAACTTGGATATTGTCGTCAGGAGGATGTAGCCAAACTATTCATAAGAGGAAGAGGTTGATGACTAAAATAGAGATAGTCCCCTATTCTTCCTCCTAGTTACGCAACATATCCATATGATGTCTTGAATGCACATGAAATATAGGCATTTTGTTAGCCTAATTCTCCCTATCAATCAAGCCATCACCAACTTATATTCCAACTTTTTAAATTTTTTTTTATACAAGCGATATTGAGGAAGGGGGAATAGAACTTAGGACCTCGGATGCAGAAGTAAATGCTCTTAATCACTCAGACTAGAATACCCTTGCATATTCCAACTTTTTAAATTCCTAACTGATGTAACGTACTCTCTTTTGGGAGAAGCATACTCGGTCTCATCTATTAAATTGATTCCTCATGGAGGATTATCTACTCGGTCTCATCTATTAAATTGATTCCTCATGGAGGATTAGCAAAACTAAATTTTGCTAATCTTTCAATAATTATGGATACCCTTCTGCAGGCTTCTTATCCAGAACCAGAACAACACAAGAATTTGGCCACAATGTGCCAGTTCAAAGAAGCTTCGGTTGTTTAAGTGTTTTGGAGGTTCTTCCTAAAGTTGTCATAAGCTCTTAGGAGGGTTTGATCTGGGCCTATCAGCACAATTTGCAAACTCTGGTTCTCTCTAAGGTTTTTTCATCAAATTTTATTGATTTAATGATTTAACAACAGCCAACGCGATCTAACCTAGTGAAACATCTCCATCAAAATGAATGATTTAGCAGCATATTGAACTCTAACAACTCTGGAAAATTTGGTGGTTAGTCCATGATATTTAATTCCTGCATATCATCGATTTTCTCATGTTCAGTTAGCACGTACTTATCAAGAGATCAATTATGCCGTTGATGGTGATAACTTGGTATTTTGGGACATGACATTTAATTCTTTCTATCATTTGGCAACATTGCTTTCCCTCAGTAGTTAATCATACATATTATTGATTGATCATGCACCTAATTTTGGCTTTTCTTAGGTCCCACTTATAATTTTTATTGTTGATATAAAAGAATTTCACTAGAGTGGCGATTTTCTTGAAAAATAAAATATACTTCATTCCTTCTCTCCTTCCTTTGTAAATAGTAACTTTACATTCCTGTCAATGACAATATGATATGTGTGTATTAGTTTTATTTTGTGTTTTAGATGAATTAACTTTGCACATATGTCAAATTATAATTTGCAAGAAGGAGGAGTATCTCTTTTCAGGGAAAGAGACAAGCAGTATCCGATTTTCCGATTTTGTTTTTGGGGCAATGTTTATATATAAATCCTACAAATATTTATCATTTGTGATATTAAGTTTTTGTTTCACCACACGGCATGGAATGGAAATGAGAGGTTTTTTTTCCAGGTGAGAGGAGGGCATGGAAATTATATAATGATAGTGTCATGTCATGTAATCATAAAAAAGCCTTGAAGGGCTGCGTGAAATAATTCGGTTACTTGCAAAGTGCATTGCTAACCATGATTGCTTGTCTGGTCAGCCGTCACCAAGAATAATGCTATATAGCACAAAAGTAGTCATGCATGCATATTATGCATAGATGCATATGCATGCTTGAGGCAGCAACCATGCCGAAATCATAGTCGTCTTGTTTTCATTGAAGACATGTATTGGTGTACATTTTGTCACATTTTTGATGATGTCGTGGGTTCCATACGGTTTATATTATATTTTAGATTATTTTGTCTAATATAAATTTTTTTAGACCATTTAATCATGAAGAGCTCATTGTCTTGAATGACAATTCGTGCAAAGACGTTATCTCATGTCTCTCATATGCATTGTTTACCGATAAAATTAAAAATTATTTAACACAGCTAACGGGGTCTAGTCTAATGAAAAAGGACCTTGAATTTGACACAAGATTGAATTTAAAGTATTGTCCATCTTAACCGTTGGAAACTTATCTCTGTTACACTTGTTCTAACACATGAAGAAATTGAACTCTATATTACACAAATCATTAGATGCATATATCTCCTAGCGGAAAGTTTCTCTATACATAGTGCATTATTTCGGACTAATGCATCTTCTACAATGGAGCTAATGTCGAGATTTTTTACCTCAAACATTTTGTTGGATATATATGTGGTTCTCGAATTTCAAGACAAAAATTTATCTATAATCTTAGTACGTTTTGAAGAACCAATTCTTTGCTACAACTGATGCTAAATGCAGGTCATATGTACATTGCTTTGGTTTTAAGTTGACCTTGCTCATGCTACCAAACAACTCATGCTCTTAACTAACATTATCATTGTTGAAGGGGTTTCTGAACAACTAAATGAAGCCCTCAAAACAGTGGGAGATATTGAAATCAATGTTTTATTAATGGTTATAACTGAGGGTGAATGTATTCAAATTAAAAAAAAGTCTTTTAGCCCACCATTTTTATTTATTTTAGGAAAAGCACAATTTTAGCGAGGAAGAAAGAAGGAGACGAGAATATAGAGATTATAAGAAATTTGAACCTTTAATGTTCCATTATTAATTACTTTATTATCACACACCGGATTCGGGATTTTACTCTACTCCGGGTCAAGGGTGTGTGTGCGACAGAGCTAGTGTTGTAGCACCTGATCTCTGTTCTTCTTGTCCCTCCTGTTGGCAGAGCATGCATTCATGTTATCATATCATGACATGACAAAAGAAGGGTCTGCACTCTGGACCACCAAAAAAATAAAATTGAGATAGCTTTTGAGCGCAGCTTGCTTTGTGAAAGCAGAAGTAGTAGTTAGTTAGAGGTTAGATCTATTTATAATCACATGGGGTTCACTACTTTAATGTCATTCTCATCCCTTCAGGAATTAAGTTATCAATTAGATTTTGAGAGGCATCTTTGGTGGGGAATCATGCTCACTACCAGAACTTAATTATAATATCAAACAAATAAAGGAAAATCAGAAAGTTAGAGAAGAAATTAAAGGAAGTTTGCTTTTTTCGGCTATACAATTATAAAAATGAAAAAGGAGAAGAAATTAATGATAAAAAAAAAAAGAAAAAAGAAAAGCATAAGCATATTCATGCCTTGTCATATGGCAGTGCTTTCTCATTGAATAAAAATATGGATTGCATTGTGCCAAGTATGATTACAAGATACAAACATTATTCACTGAAAGTGCTCATTTGAAGCATTTAGTACCAAACCCAAAGCTGACAAGAAAGTACAAATGGAGAGATACACTAATTAAACATGACCATTTGATTTTGATGACCAAGCCAATGCTCATAACAGATGGAAAGTTTCAGGAGGATTTTGGCCAGTTCTTCTGGATTTCAAAGTAGTAACTCATGTCCAAGTAGCATTTTCCATCATCATCCACAAACTGAAACAAGAAAATTAAGAAAATTATAAAAAAATTATATTAAAAAAACCAATGTTGATGAATTAAGCCTTACTTTTGTTCTCACACAGTACCAGCCCCTGGCAAACATGCTTGAAGGGACAGTTTCTTCTTCAGTCTCATATGTATAAGGATCTTGCTTAGGGCTGAAAGTTCCAAGCATTCTTTTTGAGTTGTCCACTGTCAAAAATTTTTGAACAATTAATCTCAGTAATTTTTGTGATTATATTATACAATTTTGATTTTAATTATGAATGTAAATTTATTTATTTACCTCTGACACCAGTCTTCCACACTGTATTGGTGTACTTGAGGCCTGAGACTATGTTTTTGGAGACAGTAAATGTAAACCTGATGCGGTAATGGCATCCGTCTTTGAGTGTGAAGAGGCTGCTCTTGGGTTTGTTTGTGAATGGAATTGGGAGGACAAGATCCGGCCGGCCCCGGCACATGATTGTGAGGCTTAAGACCTTCACTTCTGGTTCTTTGCTCTCTGAAATTTAGGAATTTCAAACAATAATTAATGTAAACCCAATTGAGAAAAAAAAGAGAAGAGAAAATTAAATACCTCCAGCAGTAGAGAGATCAACACTCCCAAGAAGTTGTTCCTTCCATTTCCTCAAACTCTCATCATCCTTAGAAGAATTATTATATATGTGAATGTGATGAATTGGACAACATTAATGAAAGACTTAAAAAAAGAAAAAAAGAAAAAAACAGAAGAAAAGTGGACACATACTTTATCTTTCTCAAGCTGCTCCTTGAGAGAAAACTGAGGGCCAAGGACCAATTCCTTTTCAGATTTCAATGCAGCAACCTCATCATCCTCTTCGTCTAGGTCACCCTCCTCCGCATTATGATCATCACCTTCGGGAAGCTGGCTTAGGCTTGGTTGATCATCACCAAGTGCAGCCTTGTTTTTCATGTCATCATTCTTAACTAACTCCTCTTCCTCCCTTTGAGAACTGAAAGTAACATCTTTGGTTGCAGAGATAGCTCCCACAGCGGCCGACATTTTTATCAAAAGAAAGTAAGAAAAATACCCCAAAGACAAATGTTTATGCTTGAGCTAGCGTTGAAGAAAAAAAAACTAACAAAAAAAAAGAGATGAAGAAGAAGAGTATATAGAAAAGACAAGGTTTTGGTCTGGTTATGTGTCCCTTCCAAATTACTTGTACCAAATTCAGAGGCTGTTAACCATATTGGGATGCTTTCACTCGTTTTCAAAGTGTGCTGGCAAGAGATGGAGGATGACTGGTTGAGCAGGGAATTATGGGGCTTCGTCGGATATGAAGAGGATTTGAAGCGAATTTTAGGCAGTTGAATATGAGTGTATATATAATGTTTGGAGGACAAAATGCTTAGTTTTGGGCTGGTTATAAATACTAGGTAAGTGAGTGTTGGAATTGACCTTTCTACCGCTTATGTTTTCGTTTATAATAACCTCCCTGAGTGTAAGTTCAACCACTTATGTAAGTGTACGTATACGCACACTCTGGTTGATTAAGAATTCTTCCGTAGTACAATTTGTTTCCCTTAAAAAGGAAAAAGAAAGTTCTTTGACGGTACAGAGCAGCATGCAGTCATGATGGCATGATCAAAAAGCAGCATGGAGTCATGATGACTTGATCAAAAAGCAAACATGGAGAGAATAACTTGAAAATAAAAGAGAAAAATACAATTACAATTTGGTCTAGTGACACTCAGTCTTCACTTGTTAGATAAAAGAATAAAGGTCAAAACACACATCGAATTATATGTTTTCATGATGTATTGGCGGTCTTTAGCCAGACTCGCTACTTGAAATGGGTACTGAAATGCTTTAAAAATATAATAAAAAATAAAAATTGGGTATTGAAATGATTTCAAATCTTGACTCTCATTGCATTCACTAACAACTTCCCCTTGCGTTACAATCTGTAACCAATACCAATAAATAAGGAATTAGATTAATTAAGGGGTAGTCGATCCCATACACATTCACGACTTCCTTGATTCATTGATTAGGAATTAGATTGATTAGGGGTAGTTGTTAATCAATGAAAGTATGATATAATTTGCATAATATTCTTCACCTCTAATCCGGGGGTGCCCATTTCATAATTTTGGGATGATGTGAATTTTCATTCAGTTGAGGAACTATATCTGCCAACAACTAAACATGATTGCCAATCTACAGAAATGCTCATTCCATTCCAAGGATCATTGTGATAAAACCCAACACCAACTTAAAAAGAGGTTATTAGCTTGCCATCCACTTCTACATAAGAAAGTTGAATTGTTTATGGAGAGCTCTAAATAGTATCCTTCCATGTAAGTTGGACCTTTATCGCATGAAAATTGTGCAGTTTCCGTGGTTACAAAAATCAGGTTGAAAAGCGTATACATGCCTTGTCATATGGCAGTGCTTTCTCATTGAATACAAATATGGATTGCATTATTGTGCCAAGTATGATTACAAGACACAAACATTATTCACTGAAAGTGCTCATTTGAAGCATTTAGTACCAAACCCAAAGCTGACAAGAAAGTACAAATGGAGAGATACACTAATTAAACATGACCATTTGATTTTGATGACCAAGCCAATGCTCATAACAGATGGAAAGTTTCAAGAGGATTTTGGCCAGTTCTTCTGGATTTCAGTGTAGTAACTCATGTCCAAGTAGCATTTTCCATCATCATCCACAAACTGAAACAAGAAAATTAAACTAAAAATAAGAACCAATGTTAATGAAAATTGAAAAGCCTTTGGTAATAGAAAAAAAACTGTCAAATTGGTTGAATTAAGCCTTACTTTTGTTCTCACACAATACCTGCCCCTGACAAACATGCTTGAAGGGACAGTTTCTTCTTCAGTCTCATATGTATAAGGATCTTGCCTAGGGCTAAAAGTTCCAAGTATTCTTTTTGAGTTGTCCACTGTCAAAATTTTTTGAACAATTAATCTCAGTAATTTTTGTGATTATATTATACAAATTTGATTTTAATTATGAATGTAAATTTATTTATTTACCTCTGACACCAGTCTTCCACACTGTATTGGTGTACTTGAGGCCTGAGACTACGTTTTTGGAGACAGTAAATGTAAACCTGATGTGGTAATGGCATCCGTCTTTGAGTGTGAAGAGGCTGCTCTTGGATTTTTCTGTGAATGGAATTGGGAAGACAAGATCCGGCCGGCCCCGGCACATGATTGTGAGGCTTAAGACCTTCACTTCTGGTTCTTTGCTCTCTGTTATTTAGGAATTTCAAACAATAATTAATGTAAACCCAATTGAGAAAAAAAAGAGCGGAGAAAATTAAATACCTCCAGCAGTAGAGAGATCAACACTCCCAAGAAGTTGTTCCTCCCGTTTCCTCAAACTCTCATCATCCTTAGAAGAATTATTATATATGTGAATGTGATGAATTGGACAACATTAATGAAAGACTTAAAAAAAGAAAAAAAAAACAGAAGAAAAGTGGACACATACTTTATCTTTCTCAAGCTGCTCCTTGGGAGAAAACTGAGGGCCAAGGACCAATTCCTTTTCAGATTTCAATGCGGCAACCTCATCATCCTCTTCATCTAGGTCACCCTCCTCCGCATTCTGATCATCACCTTCGGGAAGCTGGCTTAGGCTTGGTTGATCATCACCAAGTGCAGCCTTGTTTTTCATGTCATCATTCTTAACTAACTCCTCTTCCTCCCTTTGAGAACTGAAAGTAACATCTTTGGTTGCAGAGATAGCTCTCACCGCGGCCTACATTTTTATCAAAAGAAAGTAAGAAAAATACCCCAAAGGCAAATGTATGCTTGAGCTAGCGTTGAAGGAAGAAAAAAACTAACAAAAAAAAGAGATGAAGAAGAAGAGTATATAGACAAGAGAATGTTTTGTTCTGGTTATGTCTCCCTTCCAAATTACTTATACCAAATTCAGAGGCTGTTTACCATATTGGGATGCTTTCACTCGTTTTCAAAGTGCGCTGGCAAGAGATGGAGGATGACTGGTTGAGCAGGGGATTATGGGGCTTCGTCGGATATGAAGAGGATTTGGAGCGAATTTTAGGCAGTTGAATATGAGTGTATATATAATGTTTGGAGGACAAAATGCTTAGTTTTGGGCTGGTTACAAATACTAGGTAAATGAGTGTTGGAATTTACCCTTCTACCAGGGACGGACTCAGGATTTTAAAGTAGGGTGGGCTAAATTTATGTACTAAGTAGATAGAAAACTCAGCAATGCCATGTGATTTCATTGATAACAAAAAAAAAAATATATATATATATAGCAAGAACAATAAAATCAATTACAAATCCTATTTGATAATTCATAACTCATAAACTGAAATTGATGCCCCAATTGCAAATTCTAATTGATACTTCATAAACTCCAAAAAAATCCTCAAATTAAAGCATCAAGAAATTAAGAGAAGCTTACATGACGAATATAGGAACTTGGTTCACTTGAATTAAGTCTTGAAGGTGATGCATCAGCAACAAGAGCGTTTTTTTTTCTCTACATGCGAGGGTAGGGTGGGCCTTCCTGTTTTTTTATTTTTTTATTTTCCCTACGTGCTATGCGTGAGTTATTTTATTTTTTCTCTTTTTTTCTTTTTCTGTGCTTTGTGTGAGTTCCCCCACACCCCAACTAGATGAGGTTAGGTTACTTAAATTGGGTGAGCTAGGATTTATTTATTTTGGCTGGAAAAAAGAAGCCGCCTGGGCTATAGCCCAGGCCCTCTCCTCTCCGTTTTATTGACTAGGAGAACTAGATGAGGTGGGTGAGCTAGGATTTATTTATTTTGGCTGGAAAAAAGAAGCCGCCTGGGCTATAGCCCAGGCCCTCTCCTCTCCGTTTTATTGACTAGGAGAACTAGATGAGGTGGGTGAGCTAGGATTTATTTATTTTGGCTGGAAAAAAGAAGCCGCCTGGGCTATAGCCCAGGCCCTCTCCTCTCCGTTTTATTGACTAGGAGAACTAGATGAGGTGGGTGAGCTAGGATTTATTTATTTTGGCTGGAAAAAAGAAGCCGCCTGGGCTATAGCCCAGGCCCTCTCCTCTCCGTTTTATTGACTAGGAGAACTAGATGAGGTGGGTGAGCTAGGATTTATTTATTTTGGCTGGAAAAAAGAAGCCGCCTGGGCTATAGCCCAGGCCCTCTCCTCTCCGTTTTATTGACTAGGAGAACTAGATGAGGTGGGTGAGCTAGGATTTATTTATTTTGGCTGGAAAAAAGAAGCCGCCTGGGCTATAGCCCAGGCCCTCTCCTCTCCGTTTTATTGACTAGGAGAACTAGATGAGGTGGGTGAGCTAGGATTTATTTATTTTGGCTGGAAAAAAGAAGCCGCCTGGGCTATAGCCCAGGCCCTCTCCTCTCCGTTTTATTGACTAGGAGAACTAGATGAGGTGGGTGAGCTAGGATTTATTTATTTTGGCTGGAAAAAAGAAGCCGCCTGGGCTATAGCCCAGGCCCTCTCCTCTCCGTTTTATTGACTAGGAGAACTAGATGAGGTGGGTGAGCTAGGATTTATTTATTTTGGCTGGAAAAAAGAAGCCGCCTGGGCTATAGCCCAGGCCCTCTCCTCTCCGTTTTATTGACTAGGAGAACTAGATGAGGTGGGTGAGCTAGGATTTATTTATTTTGGCTGGAAAAAAGAAGCCGCCTGGGCTATAGCCCAGGCCCTCTCCTCTCCGTTTTATTGACTAGGAGAACTAGATGAGGTGGGTGAGCTAGGATTTATTTATTTTGGCTGGAAAAAAGAAGCCGCCTGGGCTATAGCCCAGGCCCTCTCCTCTCCGTTTTATTGACTAGGAGAACTAGATGAGGTGGGTGAGCTAGGATTTATTTATTTTGGCTGGAAAAAAGAAGCCACCTGGGTTATAGCCTAGGTTTGCCAAACTAAAGCTCCATCCCTGCTTTCTACCCTTTATGTTTCCTTTATAATAACCTCCCTAAGTGTAAGTTCAACCATTTATGTAAGTGTACGTATATGCACACTCTGGTTGATTAAGAATTCTTCCATAGTACAATTTGTTTCCTTTAAAGAGGAAAAAGAAAGTTCTTTGATGGTACAGAGCAGCATGCAGTCATGATGGCGTGATAAAAAAGCAGCGGAGTCATGATGACTTGATCAAAAAGCAAACATGGAGAATAACTTGAAAATAAAAGAGAAAAAAACAATGACAATTTGGTGTAGTGTCACTCAGTCTTCACTTGTTAGATAAATGAACAAAGGTCCAAACACACATCGAATTATATGTTTTCAAAATATATTGGCGGTCTTTAGCTAGACTACTGCTACTTGAAATGGGTACTGAAATGCTATAAAAATAAAAATAAAAAAAAATAAATAATAGGTATTGAAATGATTTCAAATCTTGACTATCATTGCATTCATTAACAACTTCCCCTTGCGTTACAATCCGTAACCAATACCAATAAATAAGGAATTAGATTAATTAGGGCGTAGTCGATCCCATACACATTCACGACTTCCTTGATTCATTGATTAGGAATTAGATTGATTAGGGGGTAGTTGTTAATCAATGAAAGTATGATATAATTTACATAATATTCTCCACCTCGGGGGTGCCCATTTCATAATTTTGGGATGATGTGAATTTTCATTCAGTTGAGGAACTATTTCTGCCAACAACTAAACATGATGGCGAATCTACAGAAATGCTCATTCCATACCAAGGATCATTGTGATAAAACCCAACACCAACTTAAAAAGCGGTTATTAGCTTGCCATCCACTTCTACATAAGGAAGTTGAATTGTTTATGGAGAGCTCTAAATAGTATCCTTCCATGTAAAGTTGGACCGTTATCGCTGGAAAATTGTGCATTTTCCGTGGTTACAAAAACAGGTTGAAAAGATATGATCTGAACACAAAGCTTTTACTCTTTTATAGATCTGTCTACGCAGTTGGTAGATAAAACCTGGGTTAATAGTTGGTTGGTGCCTCTGCCTCTGGGCTCAAGTATATACTTACCTACACCGAAGATGCCACTGTTACGGTATCCCAAGCCAATGCATTACCATGTGGAAAAGTTAAAACGCATCCCGGGTGTGTAGCTAAGTTTCTCTCCTCTATTATGGCCACTGTAACAGAACTTTACGTTGTCATTGAAGGGCTATCAGTACCCATTGGATATGGGAGTTTACAAAGAAAGAAAAATACCTGTCAGCATGTCTGCTTTAGTGAAGAATTGAAGATCGATATATTAGACATGACTGATCCAAATTATTATTTATATAAAGCACGGACCATTATTTTGCTTGGGTTTGATAATGATGTTATTATATGATTACAGAAACCCTATAAGTGATCAAACATACAACAATACAACAGAACTATGAATTATTCAGATTATATCCTTTCAACCTTCCTCAACCTACGGAAAGTTGTCTACTTATCATATCCATAAGCATACAGAAGCCATACACTGACGTACCGTTCAGCAAACAAGCATACGAATGCAATACTTTCTATATACCGGTACATTCAGCAACGGCAAGAGAGTCGTTCCACTGAGTTTCCCGAAGATCATGCATTCAGCAACTGCCTACAATGAGTACCCAAACATGGCACAGTTTTTGGAACCACAGGTAATACTACCCAGATCAATGCTACCTGGCTCATAAGGTTACAAACAGAGATTTTATAGGGGCTGCGGTCGTGTCTGGACTATATAGATATCTTTGCCAACAACACATCCTTCTATGTCCTGTGGGCAGCCAAACTTCTGCTCAAGGAAAAATCCCACTGTACTGAGGCGCTGACCAAGCTGCTGACGGAAAATTGGATCAACAGTTAATGGTTTCTTGCTGTAGTCTACAGTCAAATGGATAACCTCCCCATCAGCAGGGCCTGTACCAAGTAGCTCCTCACTGAAATTCGCAAATGCCAGTGTTCGCACATTCCCATCAAATTTCCCAGATGACAGACGCCAAGGTGTGCCTCTAGTGCCTGAAGCCAAAGTTTCACCAAGGCCAGAAGCAATTTCAGCCTCAACAGAATTATGATCTTGGTCCGTTGGGCTGACGGTATGAAGCACAAATGATAAGTCTGGTGAAAGCATTTCTTGCACCAGAATTGCCATTGTAGCTTCCTTCTGAGGTACACCTGCAGATCGACGGCTCAAAACTGCCCTCCGAGTGTAAAGTGAAGCCCACACTCTGCTAATAGCATTTGCAAAAACTGTTGGATTTGAAACACTAACATTGGGTATTGAGTCATATAATCCAGCTGCCGACATTCCAGCTAAGTCCTCGACATTAGCACTTGAACGAACAATTAGGCGTGCATTGCCTGGAAATATTCTCCCAATGTCATTAATGATGTCTTTCGGGGGCTGTAGGGAAGAGACTAGTTCCTGGAGCTGACTGCAAAGTTGGTCAAGTTCCCCACCTTCCGGCTTCAGTGTTTCTATCTTATCTAGAAAGGACAAGAATAAATCGGTGGATTTGCTTTGCTCTAATGCCAATTCCATAGATCCAAATGGTATCACTGCCCCTACAGGGACATTAAATGAAGCTGGTACCCCTTGGTCACTATAAACTGCCAATGAAAAACCAGTCCTCAAGTCAATGTGATGGAATAACAATTATGCAGGAAAATGGCTGATATCTATTGCGCAATCCACAATCCCATGTTTATTGTATGCAACAATTGTCTACAGGACATCCTAATGCACGCCTAAGATAATTTTGTTTTTAGTGAAATTTAAATGGCTTCATTTTATCATAAATCACATGGATGGACAAATCCATCATTCATCATGAATCAATTGTTAAAAGTAGAAGCAAAATTCATATCACGGTTATCTTTAAGTTTTTTCTTTTCTCCTTTCAAATAAATATCACTATTTACTTGATGGATATGGACATTTGATAAATTCCCCGCAAGATGAATAAGTTCATTAAAATTCAAGGGATGTCAAAAGCTGCACAAGTAGACAAGGATAATAAGAAAACATTTATCTTATCAAATGCATTAAACTCATAACCCAGCAGTCCCATAAGGCAAAAGATACATTATTTCTGTAAAAATTTGAGAACATCCACTTTTCAATCA